TAGTTGGTTGAGCATCGACATTGGCCCAGGTCATGATCTCGCTGTTCGCAGGTTCAAGCCCCACGTCGGGCTCTGTGCTGACAGCTCAGAGCCTGGAGCCTGTTTCGGATTCTGTGTCTCCCTCTCTCTCTGCCCCTCCCCAGCTTGTGCTCTGTCTCTCTCTCTCTCAAAAAATAAATAAAAACATTTTCTAAAAATTAAAAAAAAAATAAAATAAAAATGATTGACAGCCTGAACAGCCAAAGCAAACTTGAGAAAGAGGAACAAAGCTGGAGGCATCAGCCTCCCTGACTTCAAACTATACTACAAAAGCTACAGTAATCAACACAGTGTGGCATTGGTACAAAAACACACACATAGATCAACCGAACAGAATAGAGAGCCCAGAAACAATCGCTAACGATATATGGTCAATCAATTTATGACAAAGGAGCCAAGAATCTACAGGAGGGAAAGGACGGTCTCCTCAAACAAATGGTGCTGGGAAAACTGGACAGCCACTGGCAAAAGAATGAAACCAGATGCCTACCTCCCACCACACACAAAAATCCACTCAAAATAGATTAAAGACTTGAACGTAAGACTTGAAACCATAAAACTCATAGAAGACAACATTGGAAAAGCCTCCTTGACATCCATGCTGGCAGGGAGTTTTTAGATTTACATCAAAGGAAAGGCAACAAAAGCAAAAATAAACAGAACTACATCAAACTAGAAAGCTTCTGCACAGCAAAAGAAACTCGACAAAATGAAAAGGCAACCTACTGAATGGGAGAAAATATTGGCAAATCACACATCTGATAAGGGGTTAGTATCCAAAATATATAAAGAATGTACCCAATTCAGGGGCGCCTGGGTGGCGCAGTCGGTTAAGCGTCCGACTTCAGCCAGGTCACCATCTCGCGCTCCGTTGAGTTCGAGCCCCGCGTCGGGCTCTGGGCTGATGGCTCAGAGCCTGGAGCCTGTTTCCAATTCTGTGTCTCCCTCTCTCTCTGCCCCTCCCCCGTTCATGCTCTGTCTCTCTCTGTCCCAAAAATAAATAAATGTTGAAAAAAAAAAAAATTAAAAAAAAAAAAAAAAGAATGTACCCAATTCAGTAACAAAATAAAACACAACAAAACACGTTTAAAAAATGAGCAGAGGAACTGAATAGATTATTTTTTTCCCAAGAAGATATACAAATGGCCAACTGAAAAGATGCTCAATGTCAGTTACCAATCTTCAGGCAAATGCAAATCAAAACCACAATGAGATATCACTTCATACCTGTCAGTATGGCTCTGATCAAAAAAAAAAACCAAGAGGTAACAAGCGTTGGTGAGGATGTGGAGAAAAGGGAGCCTTTGTGCACTGTTGGTGGGCATGTGACTTGGTGCAGCCGCTGTGGAAAACAGAACTACCCCGTGATCCAGCAATCTCACTTCTGGGTGTGTATCCAAAGGAAATGAAAACAGGATAGGGAAGAGGTCTCTGCACGTCCCATGTTCATTGTGGCATTATTCCCAAAAGCCAAGGTATGGAAACATCTGAAGCATCCATCAACAGGTGAACAGATAAAGAAGATACACACAATGGACTATTATGCATCTATGACAAAGAGAGGAGTTCTGCTGTTAGTGATGACGTGGATGGTCACGCTCATGGATGGCACGATGCCAAATGAAATTAAGCCAGAGAAAGACAAATACCGCACAGTATCACGTATGTGTGGATTTAAAAAAAAGCCCCTCGTAGAAACAGTAGAAAATTGATTGCCAGGGACTGGGGGTGAGGGGAATAGGGAAAGGTTGGTAAAAAGGGTACAAACTTTCAGCTACAAGATGAAGTCTGAGGATTTAACGTATAACGTAGTGAATATGGATCGTAACACCGTATTCTATAATTGAAATTTGGTAAGAATAGAATCGAAAATGCTAGATACTGTATGATTCCAACTATATGATATTCTGGAAAAGGCAAAAATATGGTGACAGGATAAAGAGGAGTGGTTGCCAGGGTTGGACGCGGGAGAGGGAAGGATGGAGAGACAGACCAAGAGGACGTTTAGGGCAGTGAAACTACTACATATAATAATACTATAGTGGTAGATAACATGTCACAATACATTTGTCCCATCCACAGAACATATCGCACCAGGAGGGAACAGTAATGCAAAACCAGCACTCTGAGTGATAATGATCTATCAATGTAGGTTCATCAGTTATAACAATGTACCACCCTGGTTGGGGATGTTGATAATGGAGGAGGCCATGTGTGTGTGGGAGGGCAGGGGACAAGAATTATCTGGAATGTGTGTGTATCTTCTCAATGTTGCTGTGAATCTGAAACTGCTCTTTAAAAAGTCTATTAAAAAATAAGTCAGCGGGGCGCCTGGGTGGCTCAGTCTATTAAGCATCCGACTTTGGCTCAGGTCATTATCTCACGATTCGTGGGTTCAAGGCCCATGTCGGGCTCTGCACTGACAGCTCAGAGCCTGGGGTCTACTTCGGATTCTGTATCTCCCTCTTGCTCTGCCCCTCTCCCACTCACACACACTCATGCTCTCTCAAAAATAAGTAAAACATTAAATTTTTTTTTTAAAGTTAGCATATGTTACTGAGATAGTATCTACATGAACACTTAGAGCTGCTTCCGAACTAATTACCAAGAGGTAGGCAAGTAGCATAAATTGGGGCAGTAAGAAGAAATAGTCAAGGATAAACAGTAAACTCAAGAAAAAACAAATGATAATTTAATTTAGCTATACACAACCTGATTCTCTACGATGAAACCATTACTTTAGGGAACCAGAAACATGAGGCTAGATGTTTCGCAAAGACAACGAGGTTGTGTATTTTGCCCATGCAGGTAGCTTCAGTGTTTCCACTGTGCCTGGCCTAGAGTCTGCATTCAGATGATTTTCGATGCATGAATAAAAGTGGGTTTCGAGGACCAATTACTTCCAAGCTACCCAGAGTCCTTGAAAAGGCAGATTCACTGGGCACCTCGGAGGTGGAACCGTGAGCCCTGGGGGTACCAGAACTGCAGTCTTCACAGGCATACAGCGGATGCTGGTTCCACATGCTACTTGCAGTCTGAGAACCCCTGAAAGTTCAGTCTCTTCACTTTGTCAGGGAGAAAATGGAGGCGAAACAGTTTGCTCGAGGTCACAGGGCTAAGGACTGAGCAACAAGTAGAGCTCCAAGCGTCAGGCTCTGAAAAGTTCATCAGACTGGTGACTTCCTGTAGTGTTAGTATACGGAGAGCAGTAATCTAGCTTCCAGGTTTGTTTGGTTTCTTCCTCCCCCTGCTAGTTGATTTCGAGTGCATTTCGCACGGTTATTTCTGCATCACGTCCACGAGCATTTCTTCACCTTGTATCTTTCCTGCTTTCCATAGTGGTGGCTAACTCCCTAGCACAGTAAAGTTTTGAAATGCTTCTCAATGTCCGTGAGCGTCCAGGGATTTCTCGTTTCACCTGGAAAAGCTGTAAGGAAGAACTTATTGCACCTAACTAGGGCCATCTGAGTCTCCTTCGGCGCACTTTCCCCAAGGTTGCTTTTCTGTGTCTCCCATGGTGGAAGCCGTTCTCCTCTGCCATTTTGCTTTCTTCGGGAATACCGGGTTCTGAGGCTTAACAGTAGTAAAGCGATTCACCTGTACAACGTCTTTCTCTGTAAAGTTCCATTTGCAGGGCTCTTGAAGAGCCTGCTATGTTGCCCCAGCTCCCGGGACGGGTTGTTAATTCCAGGTCTAGAAAAACTGTTGGCTCGCCCTTGGGACTATTTTCTCGGCACAGTTTGATCCGAGATGCCCACTTTAATCAGAGCGGGTGGACTCCATCTCCTCTCTGTATTGGTGGCATCGGACGAAACATTGGGAGAGTTCTCGATCTTAAAAAAAAAAAGAAAAAAAAATCG